ATGCGATATTTTTATTACTGTCTAGAAATTTCCAGTGTGGTTATATATCAGTTCTCTTTGATCCCCTGCTGGAAAAGAATGAAGATGTCGCAGGAGCTCTGCACTGAGCAGTCCAAACACTTTCATTGCATTGTAATTTCAGTTCTTCGGGGCAGTTAAGTTCAAAACATAGGAACCCTTTGACTCTGTGAAGTGAATGTCAACAAAATGTCACAGGAAAAGCTAGCAATCAAAAAGTCAACATGATTTGTCTTCCTACTCCAGCAGTCCTGGCCTGCTGGCCTGCTAATTTGACTTGCTAGATTTTTGTCACAAGTCATGGTTAGCACAATGTGCAAGGATATTGAAGAGCTAACACCTGAGATTAGAACTCAGTTTGGATACAGCCTGTAAACATGCACTGATCGGGGGAAAATAACAATTTAAATGACCTGTCATTGAGTATTCTTCCTAGAAACTTGTTGATACAGGAAGAAAGAGAAACTGTTCTTACATCAAAACAGAATAAAAAAAATGTAAAAGTTACTGTGAAGCAACAGATAGAGAGGGAAATGAAATGGTGCAGAATAAAGTGAAACTGGGTTCATAGCAAGTTTACTCAGGGTTTCTATACCCCAAATTCTTAAAACTTGCCAAGATTTTTCTGAATAAATTTCATTCAGTTCAATCTATCCAATTTTATCTTCTTGAGTGGAGTTTCTGAATCAAAGCATGAGGTATGTGTGGTACTCAGGAGTGGTTATGCATTAAAAATGCATATACTAGGATACTACATCTCCAAATTGTAACTCTGAATATATGTATTTAGCATGTTGCTAAGTTTCTTAAACACATTCATATTGGCAAATCCCTGTGCTACACTATAAAGTCCTTAAAATTTCCCATTATATCTACATTTTTGTTTGGCCTACACCCCAGTTCATAGCTCACAGTGCTGAATTTGGAGGTAACCTATGTTAAAAATAGACTCTCCTTCCCCAGTATCTTTTACCACAATCATTATTTAATAAATTAAGAGGGAACATGAAAGGTCCTGATACATGAGAGAAGAGAACCCTCATTTAACAGAGCAAAGCAGTGAAAATGCTTAAAATACTTCAGGTAAAATCAGTCTGTACTTTCAGGGTCTGATAATGATGGAGAGTGACACGAAGTAACCCAGTCCAGAATTTCCTTGGATCATTTGCTGTCTTTCTCATTTCCTTTGATGAGAAAAGAGGGCTGGGGTAGATGATACCCTCAAACACATGATGAACACTTTGGAACTAGAAGGGTTCCTTGTTTTCAGTTCATCCTTTCCTTCCTGGTATTATCTAATGTATTAGACTTTACTACATATAGAACTCATTTTTCTTTGGTTTACTAAAATAATTTTTTGGTCTTCCAGTTCTTTAAGACATTGATAATAATAAATAATAGCAAATCCTCTTTTCTATCTGCATTTTTATCTATGGAAACTTTGGATTTCCGTAGTGTAGTCATTTTACTCTTCCAGAATTAGCCTCATCCATTATGTTACATTTGGACTACTATTGGTTAAATAAGATTGTAGCAGTTCAACGTGTTTGTGAGTGTTGCGACTCTTTCATACCTAGTCCTCTGAACTCAGGATCCTAGCATGTTGTTGCTCCAATGAACACCAAAGGCCTCTTCTGTGGGTGGATATAACTGCTCCTCATGTGCCTCAGCAACTTACTCATCAAATAATTGGGGAAAAGAAAAATTGGTTTTGTTGGATTTGAGATTTGTACATTTCTATTTAAAAAGTTTAATCAAATACATTCAAACATTTTATGCATATAAGTGTGCATAAGAATAACTATAAATACATTTTACATTTATCACAAGGGGAAAGAAGCAAAGGTGTAAAGAACAACTTTTGATAAGCACAGAGTTTCCCTCAAATGATCTTCACTAAGGATTCTTAGTTTCAAGGCTTTAGCAAACTATACGCAAAGAGTTATTCTCTATATCCCAAATTCGGACTGTTTCATTCCTGTTATCCTATTCAACTAGAATGCAAAGCTAAAGTGATGCACAGGTGCTACTAAAATAGCTATTTTCCTATGTTTTTCTTACGCTTTTCTTGATTTTTATAACTTAAGGACAAAAGAAAATAAATTAAATGCCATGCTATCCCAAATCAAGAATGGCATTAGAAAGCAAGATTGCATGCCTTGAGTGTACTTTGAAAAGTAAATGGAAATATTCGAATTTTTGTTTTTATTTCTTTGTTTTTGTTTTTGTTTGGTTTTCTTTTAATAAAACAGGGTCTCCCTGTAGCCCCATCCCTGGAACTCACTGTGTAGATCAGACTGGCCTCAATCTCACAGAGATCTGCCTGCTTCTGGATCCAGAATGCATGCAACACCACACCCAGCTTGGAATTCTTCTGTAAATTTTATTTTTAACTTGGACTATTCATAACTTGTTTTATTTGTATGAATTTTCTTTTAAAACTTAGCACAATGGTGTGAAGGCTTGTGAAGCACAAGGTCTGAATCATTGGCCATTCAGCCTAGCCAAACTGATGAGTTCCAGGTTCAGTGAGAGATCTTGTCTCACAAAATAAGAGGAACAGTAATTGAGGAAGGCATCCAACTTGTACCTCAAGCCTCTACATGCATGTTTATATACACAGTCACACACACACACACACACACACACACACACACACACACAAATTAAGTACATAAGAAAAACTTTATGCTAAAGCCAGGAAAATAATATGAGGAAAACACTGATTTCTTTGATTCTATAGGAAATGGAAGCCAATGTGCTCCACAAAGGATTCTACATGAATTTAAGCATTTAATATTTTAATTTATTTCATTTACTCTAAAAAAATTAACAGTGATCATTATCCTTTTGTGATTCTTTCTTCTTCTGTTAGTAATAGAATATCTTTCAATTTTTCAATGAAAATAATTCAGCTTAGCAAGAATTTTTAAGTATTTTGTGAGAAATATGACACTAGTAAAATTTTTTAAAAGTATCTTTCCAACTGTTTTCTCAAAATAATGGGACCATGATGTAATTCTGCAGTAGAAAAATACTGTTAGTACTTCCTATTTACATTTCTCTTTATTCTTCTATGAAGTATAGTAATGAGTCAAAGCCTAGTTGGAAAAGCATCTTTGAAAGTCCAATACAAAGGCATCAGATATGATAGGACTTGGTTGATAGAATAGCACTCATGGCAACTTGTCTGAATTTTGTTGCTGATTTTGCAACAGGACAAATAAACATTCATGAAAAACATAAATCCAAGAAATCAATAATGGAATGAATCCTTCAATATGTATCCAAAGTTCTAGTGATGATATACTTCATTTGTGGATTAAATTAAATTCTAGGCGTATACATTAAAAAAATACTCCCACTACATTGAATACATTAATGAGCTCTGATGAAGACCTGCTCTTCCGTGTTTGTTTTCCTTTGAAACGTAGTCCTGTCGTATTTGTATTAAAGATTTGTACACATTTGTATAACAATCTGTACCTTGTGGTATTTGGCACTATTAAAGGAAAAATTTGGATTCGGGCCTTCTTGCTGTTTTTATCTCATTGTTTTTCATTGTTTTGTTAATTAGTAGAGGTGATAAACATTACCATTGAAATCTACCCGACGACTTTATATCCATACATGGGTGCCAAGGATCCAAGTGCAACCAACCATGAGTAGTAATAATCAGATACGTACAGACTAGAGACACATGCGCCAACATCTAAGTGTTATTAGCAAAAACAATTGAGTCTTTCTGTAAGAAACAGTATATTTTAAAATGGAGATCTTTTTTAAAGGTTAAAAACTCATTCAATTTTATGTCTTACAGGGTTTATACTGAGTTCAATATTGTATAACTGTATTAATTCAATTGTGAGCCTAAAATTTTTTTAAGCCACTTTTGAAAGAGATGTATCTTTGCTCTGGAAATTCTTTTCGAGTACATTAAAGTTGTAATGAAATGCTTCTTCTAATTAAAAAAAAAATTCCACTGGTTTGATCCAAATCCCATTAAAGTTGTATAAAGAAACAAAGTTTTGTGCCTATATTGTTAAATATCACATTTTTAAGATTTGTAAAAAAAAATTGCTTAGAATTTTTTAATGAAATGAGAGACCCTTAAAGATTATTAAGTAGGAAGATGGTATTATTTAATTTATGTTTTAAAGCATCAGCCTGGCTGCTTATAAATATTGAAAGAATATGAATATAGAAGAAAACTATTTAGAAAATTATTGAAATAATCTGGAATTTTAAACATATATATTAAACATATATAATACATATGTTGTATACACTCTTGAAAATAGAGTAAAGCAAAGCTGCTGATGGGCTGGATGAGGCAAGTTGAGAGAAGAATCAAAGATGATACCTAGGGACTCGGTTAGAACTAGATGGATGGAGATGCTGCTGATGGAGACTGGGAAGAGCTGGAGGAAAAAGAAGTGGAGAATGCAGAGATCTGTCATCAAGGGCTCAAGTGGAAACACAGTTTGAGATTATATATTCAAGAGGACATATCTGCTTAACAGTTGAGTGCTTCAGTCTGAATTTCTGAGTTTGTGCAATTAATAGTTTCAGAAGTGAAATATAAATTTTAGAATCATTAGTAAAGGTGACTGTTAGGCTATGCAAACAAGATTCATAAGAAGAGAACTGATGAAGACATGAAAGGAACATTGAGAATGCCAAAGACTAGAGGGTGATCAGTAAGCTTGACTGAAAAAGAAAGAAACGAAGCGGGGCAGGGGCAGGACAGTGCAGTGTGGCTCTGAGACTGAAAGCAACGGATGGAGTGTTTCTTTTTAGGTCAAATTATGTCCAGAGTATGAATAAAATGAGAACCAAGAAGTGACTGGGCTTTAGCAATCTGGATGTCAGTTGTGACCTGTACAAGAGTCCTCTCAGTGGAGCTGAAGGAGATAATGGACTGCTTGGAGTGAATTTGGGAAAAAGATGTGAGAAGTGTTGAGTCAGAAGACAGATCATTCATGATTGTTGCTGTCAAGCTGAAGAAGAACATGACAGTCGATGAGGAAGTAAAGCTGCAGACAGAAATTGATGCCGAGAGCATAAATGCAGGAAATGGTCCAGAGATATACATCATCCTCAAAATAAGGATTTGATAGAGCATGATACAAATTCAAAGAAACTGGCCATTCTGATACAGGAAAGCAAAAAGCTTTCCAGTCAGCTGCTTCTTCATATAACCTAAGTATCAAGCTCACCTACAGCATAGGAAGAGGGGTGATAGGAGGCTTGAGAACAAAGAAGATGGAAGACACTTGTAGAGAGAGGAAATATGCAAATGTTATCAAATTGTTGTAGGGAAGCTTTGGACTGACTGCCATCTCAATATAAAATTAAAAATTGGAGACTAGAGAGATTGCTCAGTGATTGAGAGCACTGTTCACTCCTGCAGACCACCTGGGTTCAGTTCCAAGCACCCACATGGCAGCTAACAACTGTCCATAACTCTAGTTCAAGGCAATCCGACGCCCATTTCTGGCCTCCACGGGCACTGCAGGACATGTGTGCACTTATAAACATGTAGGCAAAACATTCAGACACATAAAATAAAAATAAATAAAATTTTGAAAAATATAAAACTCTAAACCATATATGAGGAAATCCAGCAATATTCTGATTTTTCCAATGGTGGAAAGCCTGAATCTTTTTGAAAAAAATCAAAATCTTTAATTCTGTTAACACATTGTTGCCTCTGCATTAGTATTGTTCTGAGTAGTCTGTGATGAGGTTGTTAGGCTTTTGCTAAAGAAAGGCAAGAGACTAGAGAAAGCATTAAAATTACTGAACATTTTGAAAAAGAGGATTACAAGGGACAGAAGGGATACAAACAGGAGTTGGGGATCCTAAGGAGCACTTCTTCCTACTCCTCAGTTTACTTAGAATCAGTTTAGAAATGTGTTGCAGCACACTGTATTATAAAGAGAAATAGGAAAAGATTTGCAGCCATTAGTGTAAAATTGATAGTACCTCTACAGACTGCTTCTGGGAGACAGATAAGCCAATGACTCTGGGCGCTGACAACCGCTGATTTTGGTGCCCCTCGTAGTATTTTATAACAAAGGAGATAACTTGTAGGAGATATTTTCAACAATTTTTTTTGTTACAAAACTGGAACTTGAGGTCAAAGAGATGTCTCAGTAGTTAAGAGCACTTCGCTGCTCTTGCAGAGGTCCAGGACTCAGTTCCCAGCACCCACATAGTAGCTAACAACGATCTGTCGATGACTTCTTCTGGCCTCCATGGGCATTCTACACATGTGGCTTACTTATATACCTTCAGGCAAAATACTCATACATATAAAATAAAAATAAATAAATAAATAAAATTTTTTAAGGAACAAAAAACATGAAACTTTATTAACTACCAACAAATCAAATATATAGTAAACACATTTAGAAACACAAAAGTATATTATATTTAAAACATAATTAGCAGCACTTGGAGGCAGAGGCAGGCAGATCTCTGTGAGATTGAGGTTAGTCTGGTCTATATAATGAGTGCCAAGACAGCTGGGGCTACAGGGAGACCCTGTCTCAAAAAGACCAAAGAATAATAATTGGGCATAGATTCGTACTACCCACCAAATTCATTTATTCATGCATACTTATGTGTCCCTTATGAGTCAGGCACTTTGCGTGACACTAGGAGCATATTGAACAGTACGTTAAATTTCTAATAACAAAGTTCTGTGCTCTCTCACATCTAAAATGCAAACCCACTATAAAATTTCCTCAGTATGATCAGAAGCAATCCAGGGCATCTAAACTTGTGTCTGCTCAAGAGAAAGTTCACCTAATTCCTACCAACCTGGATTCAGGTCCAGTTTGCCACTATCAGAGAGATACAGGAAGCAAGGACAATCCGAGTCTTGGTTTCTCATCTACTAAATGAAAGCACTTCGGTGAGATGGCCTTGCACTGTACGCACTAATTATCACTAATTAGCAGATGCTAATTATGCATGTAACGTAGTAAATCTGTGTACAGACTATGGGGAAGGTGAAGGACAACTGGTGAAAATTGGCCAGAACCATTTATATTATGTTCAGTTGTGCTTCTCTGAGACAACTCCTTTAAGAAGAAATTACCCCATTTCTATCACAGGGGTAAAGGAAACAGCCTCACAAAGATTGTAAGATAACAAATTAAAGATGTTAAATTACATATTTTTAATTCTCATCTAATCATATTCTCAGACTGACTTTCTAAAAAGAAAAGATTGTTGTTCACTGTGTCTGCTGTAGGAACTTACCTTAGTGCTTATTGGGAGACAGACTGGAAAAAACAGTTGGAAGGGCCAAGGAATGTGAGTTCTAATGAAGAAAGATACCCTAAGAAATATGTGCAGAAAGTTGTGATGCTCTGACACTCTATAGGTATGGAGGACTTGGAATCAATCAGTGCTATGATGTCAGGGATGAGAAGCAAAATGATTTGAGGACAATTGAAAAAGTTTTTAACAAAACTGGGCATAAGCCAACTCTACTTAATTTGGGTTACTCAAAAGACAAATAAGTGTCTTGGTTGATTGGTCCAAGGCACAGCTTGCTCAAAACTACACTCAAAAACAACCTCTTCCTGTGCAAGCTACTATCCTTGGGTATAGCATATAACTTAATCCTTTTAAAGCATTAAGGCAATTAAAATCCGGGGTGGCTGTGTGCAAAGGCATATGCCTACTTACAGTGCTACCTGACAAGCTAGGAGACTTTCTTCCACCAAATGACTCTTCTAACACCTGCTATAACTTAAGACATCATATCAGCACAGAAGAGTCTTTTGTTTTATAATAGAGGTAAAGAATTTGGTCCTTCACAAAGAATTGCCAACTTTACTAATGTGTGTATTCCGTTTGATAATATTTAAATAGTGTATCAGATGATAGTGTAATGAAGGCAAAATATCTCCCACACATCACTTACTTCAACAAGGCTAAAAACTGGGTAAAGTAAGGTTGGGTAAAATCACAAAAAATTAAATATTTCTGCTAAAACAAAAATGGAATATAAAATTAAACAGCATGATCTTACAATGTACAGCCTAGTCAACTACAAAGTTACATTGTGTTTGTGCATGTGTGTGTGTGTGTGGTAGTATGTGTGTGTGTGGTATATATTTGAGTTTTTACATGGTATGTATCATTATAATTAACATTTAGGGTATGACTAAATAGAAAGAGAAAATATTATTATGACTGTAAAATGTACTCAGAGTAGTACTATGGAGAAGCAATAGAAAGACCTATGCTGACAAATCAGTAAATTAATTCATTAGTAATTTGATGAGACCTAAATTCTGACTGAGAAATAATTTCAAATTTAATGCCTTAAAGCGTAGTGAAAACTGAAGATCTACAGCTCCCCAAAATGAGAAGGAAAAGAAGAAAACCCTATAGAAGGTGCATTCTCTTGACTGCGACAGACAGTATGTAATTCCAGTTCAATATTTTGGGGAATATATGCAAAATGAAGTTCACCTTCTATATACTTTGTTCATTATCACAGAAGTATCTATAAAAAAGAAAGGTATGCATTAACAAAGGTTATAGAATGATTTCATGGTTTTGAGCATTGTTATTATGTGTACACTTTTGCATTCGTTATTACTTATACTGTGACTAACAGAGAGTTAAATAGAATATTTACTTATTTAGACACATTAAGCTTTTAAGCTCCCACATAATTCTTAAAATCTATTATCATTATAGTACTGTCTAGCTTTCTCAATTCTCTCTTCTTAGTTCTACACATTGAAGTACAGTCAATTGAAAAGTTCTATAAAATCTAAAAGTTGGAATTGAAAGGGCTATAAAGCAAACTACTCTGGGCATAGAAGTGTTATTTTAACAAAAAAAAATCACAATCATACTGTCTAGTTCTGAAAGGCAGCCTGTCAGTCTATAAACTGTTATAATGTCTGTGTGCTATTGTAAATGGACTTCAGAGAGATATGTCTCCCCATCTCTTCTTCCATGACATCCATATTACAGCTCTCAAAATATAAGCAGGTCCATGGAAACTGCCAGTAGCTGCCAAGAAGCCCTTCCTTCAGGGCTGAAGAGAGAAAGTGGGAATAGTTAGACTCTTCAGGTACCTTAGTGTACTTTTTTTCCTTTTCCTCTGAAAGAACATTTAATCTCTGTGTGGGTATTCATATAGCTAGAAGAATTTTATGTGTGTGTGTATATAAGTACACATATATCTGTGTTTAAATCCATAACACTGAAAATAAATATGAAAAATTATTATCAATATTTATTCTAATCAGTTTGTTAAAAATGGGGGCTGGAAAGATGGCTCAGTGGGTAAGGGTACATGCCACCAAACCTGATGACCTAAGCTAGATCTCTAGAGTGAAGCAACTCCCTCAGGTTGTCCTCCACATGCTAGTTGTGGCATGCACAAGTGTGTACATGTACACACATAAAAATCAATCAACCAGTGAATGAAAAAATAAGCCACCCTTTTGAACAGCTGCTTCATTTATTGCCATGACAATATGATTGTTACCATTCATTCTGTTTTCCTCCACAATCTCCTCAAATACAGTTGGAAATAGAATATAGAATTCTTTATTGTGTCCACTGTATTTTATACAAGAGCAGGTGCCTCATGATCGTGTTCACAGATTTCTCAGAGTAAAAGTTAAATATCTGAGCATAATAAAGCAGAAGGACAAAGTTGCCAGGTAACAACCATTGGGCCAAACAACATGCCTTCCTGCATTGGCCTCCATGTATACAGAGTTTTTAGCATTTTGAAGCAATCCTTCATAATTAGATTATTTCAAAGTAAATTCATAGATTTAGATTCTAGTTCTCTCTTGGAAAATGATAGTATTCAACAATATAAGATCCCTTCTCCCACAACTACTGGCTGCAGCTAAACAATAGAGAATATGTACCAAGTCTACTTTACTTGTTAATATTTCTTACCTAAATGCCACAGACATTTGCATTTGTTAAGATATTGTATGGAAAACACAAAGTTGGGCTGGAGAGATGGCTCAGTGATTAAGAGAACTGGCTATTCTTACAGAGGACCCGGGTACAGTTCCCAGGCACCCACATGGTAGCTAACAACCGTTTATAACTTCAGCTCCAGGGGATCTGATGACTTTTAACTTCTTTAGGTACTGCACGTCACAGGTGCACTTACATACATGCAGGCATAACAGCCATACACATAAAATATAAAAAATACTAAATAAATGAATAAATAAATAAACAAAAAGCACAAGGCACAGAACACTATGCCTGTTTGAAGGCAATCTTCAGGCCATACTGAGTTCTCTTCTTCCCTCTTTGCTAACATCTGGCATTTGATGTCACCTGTAGAATAATGCTCTCTTCAAACACCAGACAATGGCAACTTGTTTTAATGAGGAAGTTGCAATTAAAATTTACCTGCATTCATTTCTTTTAAAATGTGCATTTTTCTCAGTTTCAGAAATTGTTGTTTGTGAATAAAGCTTAATTAAATTTTATTTGTGAAACTATTTGGGCTGGAGAGATGGCTCAGGGGTTAAGAGCAATGACTACTCTTGCAGAGGACCTAGGTTCAATTCCCAACACCCACATGGTGGCTAACTACCATCTGCAACTCCAGTTCTAGGGGCTCCAATGCCCTCTTCTGATCTCCACAGGCATTGCATGACATGGGTGCACTTATATATGGGCAGACAATAGACTCATACAAATAAAACAAAAATAAAAATAAAAGAAACTCAACAGAGGTAGGATCATAGGAGCAAGGGTATTAGTAAGGAAGAAAGGGGGGGAAGTGGGGGCACCTTAAGTTGGAAAACCATGATAGAGGGGTGAGACAATACAAGAGAGAAACAATGCCCAGCTAGTCACGAATACCAGAGGGAACCATATTCT